ACAAATATTAAAACTCTATTATAAAATAATTTGTCATATTCAACTAACGTGATATTAGTTGAATTGACAAATTATAAATTTATCGATATAAAAAAAAGAGGAATTTTTCGTCACGTCACGAATTCATTTTCATTAGCAAATTTATTACAGTACATTATTAATAATGACAATATATTTATAACTTGTATCTTACTTGTGTAATAACGTTACTGATATTAGATCGATCGATGCAAGAGGATCTAAACTGTATAATTAGTGGTTAACTTTTAAGAAACCGAACGAGTTATCTCGATCGATTTAACTCGTACGTGACTCATACGGCATACTCGTGTAACGATATATTATAATAACATTATTATAATGATACGTGATACGTGAATCATTGAAAAATCGAACTACGAATATTACAAATTTCTAAATTTTAATACCGAAATATCGTAATCAATAATGATAATTTCATCATTATTTTAATCATTTAAAATAAATATATGATGAAATCTTATTTTCTCCTCCATTTTGACGACTACTCCAGTTTCCAACGTATTCGCAAAAAGCTATCGATGCTATTACTATTGAATTCCGTCATTCTGTCATTTATTAATTATTTATATAAACACATCAATAGTCAATATATTAGTCATTATATTAAGTGAACCATACATCGCTTAATATCTATTTTTCAAATCCATGAAACGCGAAAATAAGATATAAAATTTTGATCGAAGTAACACAACGGCAGATATATCTTCGAAAAGATTCGCAAAATCATATCAGATTAAGATTCCTCTTTTTGAAATATATTTATATAAATAATCGATAAATAATAAACAAAAAATTTCTTGCAAATAACTCGAAAACCGAATAATCTCTAATTTCCCTAATCCCTAATGTACAGATCGTAAAAACTAAAACAAGAAACAAAAAAAAATCGATCGAGTCTTACGTACATTACAACCAATTAAAATTTGCCTTAGATAAATCGGGACCAAATTTCACAACTGCTCACGATCCAATAAAAAATAACCCTCGACCGACATTTCCATAATTTCTTTACAACTAACTTTTACTTCCCTCTTAATTTCCAGAATCCAAAGACTCATTCCCCCATCTTCCATATACACACCGTATATGGGAAAAAAAAAAGAACTCGTAAATGCTCGAATAGGAAAGAAACTCAAGAAAGTCCCCGTGCCGATCAATTATGCGCCCCGTGGCGGTATAAACAAACCCTCGTTGCGGCCGGTATAAAGCGATACGAATTTCTGTTGCTCGTTTTCACAAATGGCTCGGGCGAGCGGAGAGCGGAGCATCGCGTGGAACCGCGATTCGACCACGACCTGAGACAAACGGGTGAGACGAAAACGCACGCCGAGAGATCCCGATCCCAAGATTCCTTTTACACGCGAAAGTGTAAACGGTGGTGGCGAGGACGCGCGAGGAGCGGAGCTTGCCGGGCCCGGACCACGTCGGATCGCCACCCCATCTCCTCGCTTTTCTACCTACACTACCTATAGACCGCCCCCCCCCTCTCCCTCCTCTTCTGCCCCTCCTCGCCTCTCCCCGACCACCGTTACTCTGCCCCTGCCATGCCCGCCCCCCCGGCCCCATCCCTCTTCCAACCCAAACTCGAGGAGCAAGGAAGAGCAGGAGAGGGAAGGGAGCTCGAGTGGTTCTCAAACAAAAGTTTTTCAGAGAGAGAGAGAGAGAGAGAGAGAGAGAGAATGGAAAATTGATTCGATCTTTCTTTCTTTCTCTCTTTCGATTAAATTTTTCGAAATTCAAATTCAAATTTCATCGATATCGAGCGATCAAATATTTTTTTCTGATTTCTTTCCTATTTTTTTTCAGGGTTAATTCGATTCGATCGAATTCGATACGATGAATCTATCTACGAGATCGATGGAAATTGTTAACCGATCATTCAGAGAAGTTACGTTGCATCAATGGTATCTTGATTTTTGAAACGCATCCTTGGCACACGTTCTATCGATCCAACAGTTGCATCGAATTTTATCGTTTGCTCTCTCAAGAGAGAGAGAGAGAGAGAGAGAGAGAAAGACTTTATCCTTTCGAGGTACACATTCGGAGAGATACAATGTGGATGTAATAAGGAAATGAAAAAAAAAAAAAAAAAAAAAAAAAAAAAAAAANGAAATAATTTGTAGACGGGAGGCCTAGGGTGATATATCGTAAAAAATTAATATACAGGAAATATGAGAACCTTCGTACCACCCTGATGTTCCCCCCTCCCCCCTCCCCCTCCCCCTCCTCCCCACACTACCTCCACTCGTTGGTTCACCCGCCCTCCGTAACACGGGGTGGCTAGGAGGGTTTAGGGAGAACAGGGGAGGTGGGTCGCGTACTACCTCCTACAAAAGTATAGCGTCACCTCCCGCGGTACAATCCCAACCAAGAACGTCTATTCTACCTCTCGAATACGATACAACATATATCCCCTGGTTACCAGACAGACAGAAACAATAATAAAAAGGAAGAGAGGGAGAGAGAGAGAGAGAAAAAGACGAGGAGGATAGAGATTGAGGCGAAGTCCACTTCATTCTCGTTAATTTATCTTGCTGCAATTTCGTCGCTGCTATAGATCGCGAAAGAAGGGTTGAAAACAGAGGGAGAAGAAGAAGTGCGAACCAGAAGTTGCGACAGATAGACAATTATTCAACGTCGAGGAAATTATAGGGCTAGCCGAGGGAGGGTTAATTAAACCTTGACAGAAATTAAAATTCATATTAGGAGATCCCGATCCGCGATCTTATCGTTGCCACGTTTTACAAATCCTCGGTTAAACGAAACCGGTTGTTTATACGGTCCACACGCGTGTCCTGAAATGAAAACCTGGAACGAACTTCCTATATTATGTCTTAATAATCATGATATCAATTATCAACTGGCTCTTCGAACTTTGTGAGAACCGATTTCCTCGTCGATCGTGTTTCCGAAAACGAAATAGAGTGTAAGTAGAATTCCCAAGACATCGATTTTATCGATTTTATATTTATATAGATCGATGCGTTTATAATTTAAGTTTCGATTTCTTTTAAAATAATATTCTAAACGAATCGATTCAAAAATTAACAGTAATATATTCACTTTCTTATTCTTTCTCCATTTACTCCGATCCGATTCAACACGTTTACGGAGATTTAAGGCACTTGTAAACTCGAACGTGTAAATACACGCGTGAGGAATTCACGCGTGCCCACGCACGCTACGTTCGAACAGAAGGAGAGAGAGAGACACGTGAGAGAGAAAGAGAGAAAGACGCGAGATGATTCGCGCCGTTAAAAATTTCCTCCAATTACTTATCTCGATATCTCGTGTCGTAGAACTTATTACTACGCTAGTTTTTTTTTTTTTTTTTTTTCGAAACTCCAGTTTCAAAATTATCCAAGGTGCAAGGAAATTCGAATAACGCGTTCACAGTCGCCCTCGCTCGATTTTAGTGACCGATCGAGTCACGCCCCTGGAGATGTCTGCTAGAAAACTATTCGAAAAACTGGTTTACGCACGTTCTCCACATCACCCTTGTATAAATTATAGTAACCGAGTATACTACGAAGGTAATTTTCCGTACGCGTACTCTGCCTCGTTTCTCCACGAACGAGAGAAATGTTCTTTTCGAGAGAGAGAGAGAAAGAGAGAGAGAGAGAATGTGCGTGTATATCGATAACGAGAGTATTTTTTCTCATCGTATCGATAATCTAGATCATAGATAGTGAATCACTGACACCGCTGCCAAGTTTAGCACCGAGCGGACTCGATGCTGGCGCCGTTCATTACAGGTTTCGTCTGCAGAAGCGATCCGGCTTAACTCTCTTTGCAAAAAGGATACTTAATAACAATATGTTCCCGCAGTGTTTTTGGCAACGATCGGGAAAAAATTTTGGCAATCGGTGCTAGGGGAAATATTTATCTCCGATTTCATTTTGATAAAATCGAGTTTTAGAGAAAGCTCAGTGCTTCTCAGCCCGAAGAAACGCTTTTTCCTTCGAGTCATGAAGAAAGAAAATGGAAAAAGACGGAGATTTATGAGAATAATCGTTCAATTTGCGTATTAAAGAAGAATTTGATAATATGAAGTTGAAATCTCAACTTCGTTTATAATATTATAGTTAAATCTATTTTATAGTAACAAAAAAAAAAAATAATAATAATTCAAAATCTGAAGTGTGCACGCATTATAAAATTAATTATAAATTAAGCTATGCGATGATTACCGTTTTCCTGTGTTCTATTGAAAAATAAGAATGAAAGAGGGAACTATTCTCCGTAAAAATAATTGCTACTTTTATTCCCTATTTATAACTTTTCCGCTGATACGTAACGTGGACAATCCCTATATGCCATGTATATAGAATATCCGTGGCTTACATCGATTTCGAAAACGAGTTCGAAAGGAAGGAATGATCGTCGATTAGCGAACGATCGAGGAAATTTTTAAGGGCGTAAGAACGTAGCCCAGCTGAAGCTGGATTGTCAGGAAGAATGCGGACTAACCGGGAGACGAGTGATAAATATAATAGCGGTTACCTGCGGACCGCGTTATCTAGGAATGTTAGCAAGCCCGACTTGCGTCAGACACGCGTTGCTCTTATGTTTTACACGTTAAGGGTGACGACTTTTCGACGAACGAAAGAAACCTTTAAGCCCTTCGAAAGTCCGTCGATGTTATCGCGTTCAAGCAATTGCATTTTAAATTCAAGACTATTTCTTTCAATACCCTCCCCATATATCACTGTTCGATACAACAACGTTCTTCCTTACCAGGAACCCAAGTTCCATTTACCAAACAAACGATCAGCATGCATTATCAAATATTCAATAAGAAGCACGTTACTTGCTAAATTCAATGATAAATCGCGTTACTTATCGATCAAAGAAATCGTATTATTTTAAAATACTTGTTATCAAACCATGTTGATTTTATCTATTGATAAGCCTCGATTGATAAGCAACGCGTCGACGAGAGAGAAAATCGACAAGACTCACCCTTGGTCCATCCTGTCGACGGGTCCACCGGGTCCCATCATCGCTGGATGTCCAGGCCCGATAGGCCCTGTCATCGGGTGACCAGGTCCAAACGGGCTTCCAGGTGGCATACCGTATTGGGGTCCACCAAACGGTTGACCATGCGAAGGGAAGTGAGGATTCCCCGCTCCCGGAGGTACGAACGGCGGCCCCGAGGAACCGGGTCGACCGACGAATTGCGGTGGCCCGCCAGATGGCGAGCCGAATGGACTCGGCCCGGGCCCATTATACGGGGGCCCGGAATTATTGGGTGGCGGTGGGAAGCCCGACGAGTTGGGCGGTGGTCCAGGGCCAGGTGTCGAGGAGCCGCTAGGCGCTGGTGAGGCAGTATACTGAGGGGTCGCGGAACCAGGGGGTGGTCCTTGATAAGGAGGCGCCCCGGCTGGACTACCAGCACCACCGGGGAAAGGGCTTGGGCCTTGGAAGGCCGCATTACTCGGTGGACCACCTGTATTGTTGTAAGGACCGGAGCCAGGGCCACCACCCTGGCCAACGGAATTGGGTGTAAAGGGCGATGCCTCCGAGCCGGGCGGCGGGCCCTTCCAAGAGGCTGGTGTTCCCGGATCCTCCAGTGTGGTAGTGGCTGCCAATGGCGTGTTTAGGCGGCTACAGCCTGGAAATGTAAACATTTTTTTTTTACATTTGTCCTCTATATTGAATTGATTGATATAATCTTGAGGAAATAGAGGAATGTACAGTATATATTGGATGGACAGTGATGTACGTATCGGTAGATATTAGTTTTTAGAGTAACAAGGTATTCCGATTCCAAAAGAAACAGGAATTAATGTTAAAATAGTATTTACGGTGATGTAACAAGGAAGCTAGTGCTATTTGAGAGTCTATTCGATGCTCAAGTTTCAATTTTAAATATTGTGCATATTCATATGAGCAATATCTTTGTAATACTTTACTTATTATATAGTGCGCGAAGCTTTTAACAATTTTTTTAACTTTTAAGCTTATTTCTATATAATCTAAATAACTAATATTGTTATTCTGTTCATATTTTATCTATATTTGATATAATAATTCTTTTAAACAACACTATACGACTCATTAATGTATAGATAACATGTCAACATAATGTAAACAACTTTAATAGAATGTTATGCATATCGATGCTTACATATAAAGTAATATAGGATATATTATGTTCAAAAAGGTCTAAAGAAACTAAGTAACAAAAGAAAATCACCATTGTTTGTCCCATTGGCCTTCATTGTCTTATGATCACCCAGCTCATTCCATTGCACCGATCACCCACTATGTAGGAGTCAGCACTTGGTGAAAATTGTCAATTCTCGTCGATACACTTTATTCTCAATTAAAAGAGGTCACAAGAACGTTACGTTTCAATTCCTACGTTTAGAATAATTCCAATATTAATTGGAATATCTTTAAGGTTATGTGCCGGTAACCTAACCTATATCGTGGTTAGAACGCGTTTCACGAGTCCCACTGTGACGAGGCCACTTGAAGTACACAAAGCACGAATTACGATACTCTTCAAAAATCTGAATTCGCAGTCTGTCGACACATCGTCTTATCGAAAAACGTGAAAGCAAGGGATAACAATGGGCACCTGTACGGTCGCGTTGCCGGCATTTTCACGCTGATTTTCGACGTGTTTCAAGATGTTCCACCAGCTTTCCAGTCGAGATCCAGGCGCGCACCCACTTTTAGGCGCGTGCACAGGTCCGACATCACGCTAATCTTCATTCATTTTGCCGTCACATTGCAGAAAAATTCACGACCGTCCAAACACAAATGACTCAGTGTAAGAGAGAGAGAAGAGGCAAGCGCGAATAAACACCACTAGAGTCAACAGACGACCCTCGTCAGGGACGTAGCGCGCAGGTGGCGCCACAGCATTCGAATTTGTATTTATCCAGCTTTTAATTCACGCGTTAATTCACATCGAACGAATCGTAATAATTTATCGAATTATAAAAAAGAATCGGTCTTTCGTCCAACATACGAGCACTCCATCGATTTTTATCAATGAAAATGAAACGACGAACTTACATGGTAAACACTCGAAGAACGCGACAGTATCGACACAGACGCTTCGAAACGTCAAGTTTCAAGTGTCAAGACAGCTTTCGCGAATGAAAATACAAGAAGTCTGTGAGGAACGCGTGACGATAAGAAAAAAAGTCACTAGTCTCCGACACTTTCACTCGCATTTGTCACTCACACGTGCACCGTACGCGACGACTCGAAGAAACACACGTACGCACGTGCGCCAGGAGTGTAGCTAGTCGACACACGCACCTAGTAGTGAACTAGACTAGCTGCTCCCTCACGGACCACGTGTTCGGTACTCACTATCCACTCCTAACTGCCCGCGCCCGGATGTCAACTGGATTTCTTCCTCGGCCGTAGCCAACAATTGTTATTCCATACGTGAAAATCGGACGACGCTGCCATTTTTAACAGACCGGCTGCATGAGTCGACGCGGCAGCAACGTCTGCCTCACACCCCGCCCAAACACACTGAAAGCACACCCCATGAAGGCACACGTAGCTCCGTGCTCCTCTTTTCTCCGCCGTTTGCCCCGTACCTTTACCGTACCAGTCGAAAAATATCTCGGCCGGTTAACACGCGTGTGTTTCCGTGTACACGTCTTCACGCTTTCTCTCGATCCCGGTTAAACCGTCGTCGTAAAGTAATCCGTTCGTATTGATTCTAAGCCGCGCGCTACCTTCGCGTAATTACACCGCTGTGATATTCCTTGCGCGTGCACCCGAAACTTTTCACCCGATTTTTCCCTAGACGCGACTGTCCTTGCCGGCTCTACGCCAATGCGTCACGCTCCTCTACGCTTCGTTTCTTCGATTCTCTTGATATCCGTGCCGCGTCTACCGCGGCCGCGATTAATTCGTATCCTTGTAAATACTCGGATCGGTTGTAATTTCCGATCGATTAATCAAGAGGAAACTTTGGCAACGCGGTGTCGCCTGTTGCATGCGAGTAACGCTCCGTGTACACGTTACGTTTACGTGCAACAACGTAAATCGCGTTGACTTGTAAACAGCATGAGACGAGCCGGTGCCTTGTTTAGCATCGAAGAAGCAAACCGGACAAGATACGTAGGTGGGAAAAAAAGAATCGCACACAGAAGCGGGAGCATAGGCCAACACGCGTCGACACCAACTCTCTCCCTCTCTCTCTCTCTCTCTCTCTCTCTCTCTCTCCCTCTCTTTCTCCGTCTTTCTCTCTCCCGCTCTCGATTATTTCTCACACTTCCTCCCTTCGATTTTCGAATCCAATCCTCTCCCCCTTATGCGGCAAACTAGAAACTGACGCGCGACAAAGAAACACATCGCTGTGCTTCCGTAATCCTCCTATTAGCGCACCGTTTCACGAACACTCGAAAGTTACGACTCGTTACTTTCTCTACATGCGGCGGCACAGGCAACCAAGAAAACGTGGCGCACAAAGAACACACACGCGGATACCGTAGGAGCGATCGGGCACGAAAAAACGATCACGGGAAAACACATCACGCGTTTCACTCGTTTCCCATTCATGGACGACGACTCACTCTACTCCCGATACGAATTGAGGGGAGAGAAGGGAGGGAGAGAGGGGAGGGGAAAGGAAAAAAATAAATAAACAAAATAAATAAAATTGACCGGATTGTTAACGAAGGGGGGAGGAAAAAAAGTGTGTGGAACGGCCGTGATTTTGTCCACCGTCGCGTCGATCGTTTCACAGGAACTAAACCACGATCCGAGTGTTGGCCGAGACGTTGGTGTAAAACATGCAAGACGACGCAAGGAGGCAGCTGTTCCACGTGGAGTGTCGCCCACGGATGCGTACGGCCCTGCGCCGAGAGCCGAACCCCCGACCGCAACGGGACTGCGCCTCGCCACAGTTACTCTTTTCTGTCACCGCCGCCGCCGCCGCCGACGTCGCACTCGCCACTTTTACACGACACGGGAAAAAATGTTTCGCGAGTCTAGCGGATGGTTACACGATCGGCGATAATACGAATCGAGATCTCCCGTTTCACCGAAATCTCGGTCGATCGTGCCATCATTTATCGTTATAATTAGGAGGAGAAAACACCGGAGGAGGGATGTTTTTCGCGCGTGCAATGGCGCAGCGGCCGCCACATTTTTTTCTCACTCCTCGGTCGTTTCAAAGTCCCTCCCGTCGAGGGGGGACTCAACACTCGCCGGTTGACAGTGTCACCCTAAAAATCAATAAGGGGTTCACCCTCGACCCTGCCCACCCTCTTCCTCCTTCTGCACCTTTCTCCACCTCCTCCTCCTCCTCCTCCTCCTCCTCCTCCGCCTCTTACTCTCTGCGTTTATCCCAGGAACGTATAGCTGGGGTCGATGGGTCGGCGAGGTTATGGTGGTCAGACGACCAGTCATTCTATTAGGCGGTGATGCGACGCCAGGAGGCCTGCTAACCTTCAAACCGCCACTTTCATGCGGTTTACGTTTAAGATAGCTTTCTTTTTCGACTCGATTTCACGTATTCATCATTCTTTATTTTTATTAATTTTATTTTTTTTTTTGCGAAAGTATGATACTTCGTTCCTTTGATTCGATAAAGTGGCTCGAAGTTGAAGTTTATTTCGTAAATTTATTTCATTTCTTTTTTTTTTTTTTTTAAATTCTTCGATTTTTAAAGTTTTTTTCTCTCTCTCTCTCTCTCTCTCTCTCTCTCTCCCTATAAATAAAAGTCAGTTAAAAGTCTTCTTGTCTTCCATAAAAGGTATCGTTAGCGGTATAATGTAGCCTCGTGTTTCGCATCGAGAATATTGAGAACTGTCGGGCGCATCCAGGCAGAACTTAACTGCATTTACGTTTCTAAGCAACGCGCGTTCATTTTTCCATCCTTTTCGTGAATGCAGCCGCGTCTGGCGTCGCGGCAACCGGCGCGCGTTATGCTTCCTTGTTCCCCGGCGAGTCGTTCGAATAGAAAGGCGGCATCAACGGGAAACTATGCCGACCTACCTCACCACCACGTCCAACTACCAGAAAACGGAGAAGATTAGCTCACGAGGCCGGAAGTTATGCGGACCGGAGCACTTTCTAAAATTTTACGAGGCTGAATCGTAGCTCGAGATATTTGTTGCTATTATCAACTGACATGAATTCGAATGGGAAACACGATCGAATGGTAGATGGTAGGAAATTTGGAGAAAGCAGAAGTTTCGACTCTGTAATAATTATCCACGGATAACCAGAATTCTCGTGATTTGTTCTTTGATACCGCCTTTCTTTTTCTTTTTTTTTTTTTTCCCCCTCTCTTCATTCAAACAATCATTGCAAACGAATCAAACTTACTTAACTTAAAACCAGTCGAACATTAAATATATTCGCAAAGTAATATTGAAAAATTCGAAATCTCACTATTTATGTAACTTGAAGCATACCTGACAAAAATATACCGCTCAGTTCCATTCTTTCCATCTTCCATCATCGTCCATTATTTCCACTCGGCTCTTGCCACGATCCATTGAGATCTCCTCGAGGAATAAAATCACTCACTGTGCGTGACGAGAGGAGAGACTTCTCACTCGAAAGCGAGGCGAAATCACGAAGAAAGTTTTTCGACCGATAAACGTTCGAAGGTCGCGGTTGTCAGGCGAGAAAACCACGGGAGTAAGAGTACGCTTGACTCGTTGTCACGCGAACAACGCTCGCACACTGTACGTCAGTACGCATCTCGATGCCTATCTGTTGGTGAAGGCACGATTCGATAACCCGCGGATTCGGGGTCAGTATGGCCGCCTTTTATATCCCGAGGACGATGAAAAGTCGCCTTCAGTAACAGTTGACGTGTCGCCGAACGAAGAACCACGCGACTATACGGGAAACAGCTTTAAACAGCCGTGCTTCGTTAACGAGGCATATATCTTTTCACGCGAAAGCTCAATGAGGTGGTACACGTGTAATGTGCGTCTCTGAATGACCGCGAATAGAGCCAGATCTATTCGAACAAGTGTCAATTTCTTTTTCTTCTATTTTCCTCTTTTCTTTCTCTTTTTCCCCTCCTTGCATCAAATGCAAAGAACTTTTCGAGATAAATGTTGGCATCGTTATGCGATAACGAAATAGCGTGAAAACGGATATTCGTATGTAGTTTTCGTAGATTGCTTACTTGTGTATATATATATATCGCTCGTCGAGTGTTTAGGATAAAATGCACGAAAGTTTTCAAATGCGAATGATACGTCGAGAAAGTTTGAAACGGGGATAAGTAGCGATCTTTCAAATTTTCTTTATGCACTTTGGATCATTAGAACAGAAACGCGTACAAAAAAGAGGGAAATTTAAAAATCTGGATAAAGTAGAGATTGCTAGATAAATGTTCTTCGATTACGTAGAGGTGGAAAAGAATTTCTTTTTTTCCCTCTCTTCCTTTTTTCATTCCAATATCCCTCCCCCGTGTCACTGAAATGAAAGAGAAGTTCTCAAGCCGCGAAAACTCATCCGACGTGGCATTTCGATTTTTTCCCCGTCTCGGTGATAACTTTTTCCCGCAAACCGTACGGAAATATCTGCCGCGAACGCGTGGCTCGCCACGAGGTGAATGACAGTTGCGGACAGTTGGTACACAAGCACGTTCCACTGACCCTAGCTGAAACGATTCGGACGAGTTGAAACACAAACCCGATCCTTGCTCGCACGTGCTCGCTCTCCCGTGGACTTTCTGCACTTTTGGTCGACACTCCTCCTCGGCCAGAACTGTCCGAAGAAAGCCGCACGCTGTTCACGGAGATATTAGGATAAGTTTCATTCATACAAACTTTGGAACAAATCTCGACCTTCGGAAACCTCGGCGGAGGGAAGTCTATGAGTCGCGCTCGATCCCGAGCAAATTAACATCCATTAGATTTGAAAGTAGTTTCAATAATTATCTATAATATAGCGAATGTATGAGTAAGAAAATTCTTTTTTTTTTTTTTTTTTAATGCAACTAATATTAAAGAAAATTTAATTCTTTTATTTTATCGTAGGACATAGGATTAAGATGCACGTAGGCGAAATATAAAAATTACTATTTTTTTTATGAATATATAAGAGTTAAGGATTGTTTTAATTATCTTCCTTGTATTTTCATTGAAATTACAAAGTGAAGTTAAATTAATAATAGAAACAAAATTAATTCTATGAAATTAAATAAATTATAGGATAATATAAAAATAGGAAGGCTGATCATCGTGATATGTGGAATATCAAGCTTTTAAAAATATGAAAGGAAAGTTAGAAAGGTAGCAACTCTTCTCGTGGACTGTTCGCAGCTGTTCCTAAGTGGACTCGGAAGCTTTGGAGTTCATGGCACACAGAAACAAGTTGAATCTACGGAAAGGCACGAAGGGAAGGCCAGAAGAGCAAGTTCGTGGTTGGTTAGGGCGGGGTGGCATGAGGAGGTAGATGAGAACGAGTCACGGAGGGAGAAGCCACGTACGAGGAAAAAGGAGGGAGAATAGGTCGATACGGTAAACTATTGTCTGGTAGGTGAAGTGTTCACGAGAACCGGGCGGAAGAAAGCTTTGCGCCGGTTACGTGCATTCTCTGCTTCGCACGAAACGTGAAGATGTGACATGCTCGTCACCGCAATGATGTTCAAGAAACCCCGCACCTCCATCTACGTCTATATAATCTTTTGCGCCTGTTCTCTCGATCGATACCAGTGCACACGACGAATCGCTTTATGCATTATTACCGACTGAGAAGTGCAATAATCATCATTCGTTCATTTACAATTTATTCTATAATTCTATTTTTTTCAGGGTATTTCTTTTTTATAGTATATTCATTTCTATATAAACAGTATCAATAATATTTTTATGAAATTTTGTAAAAATCGATACTGTTTCGTCAATATATAAAAATAATGAAAATTATTTTCTAAAATAAAAATATATAATTAATATAATTTAAATAAAATTGTTTTTTAGGATGCCATTAAAGATACATTTTCAAGGAGGATTTGATATTTACTTGAAAAGTAAGTAACAAGATATTTTCATTTCAGGATTCGTAATTAATTTGGACAGTATTGTATTCATTTCAATTTAATTTACTGTTTTAATCTATTAAAATTTACTTCTTTTAATTTTTAAAGATTGTTAAACGATATATTAAATTAGAATTTACATATAAATTGCTCTTAATAAAATTTTAAAAAATTTTTATGTCTGTTCCATTGTAAAAGCGTCATTAGATTAGATCTTTCTTAATTTATGAACACTCAATAAATACTGTTGCAACCACGCCATCTACAACCGAATCATTTGGCGGGAGTATCGAAGAAATTGCGATAGTCGAAAGATAAAATTCATCACGAACAAGTAACGAATCGAAGTGGAATTAAGTTATATAATACTAAATTTTCGTGAAGCCCAAATACGAATTTTCGAGAATTTCGTCTCTGAATGCAGATTTATGCTAGTGCATTACGTACACAAAGATAGTTTGGTATGCGGTGGTGCACGACAATCCTACATCGAAGTGTATTTGCCGATTGTCGTCGGGGGTTGGAGAGGTAAACACAATTCCATCCTACTACATACCTTGTTCTATTCGCTACGTGTACAACCTATACGTATCTGTGTTCATCTAGGTATGTTTGTAACAAGGTTGCCAGCAGCGTTACTGCGAGTTTCGATCGTGAGACTAACCTTTATGCCGACGTGCGATAATTAATATTCAGATTAAATAAGCAAAATGATCGATAAATTTATGTTTCACGACGAAAAAGTTTTTATTGCCGCTATATTTTTTGAAAGAGGTATGTACGTTAACTTTTTCTTCTAATTTTTTACATAAATTTAGTCTTATTAATAAAAAGATATAATATTTTATTTTTAGTAAAAAGGATATAATTGAAAGAAAAAGATTATTTCTTTGAAATTTATCGTGAAATATAATAAGATAGAAAGAAGATATACCAAGTAAAAATAATAATCAGTAGGAAAAATAAAGTAGAAACGAGATTTTGTGAGACGAAACGTTCTACGTTTACTATTACCGAACTGGTTAAACAGGTTATCAGTTTATAGCCACCGTAAAGAGATTTTAAATTTCGCGGCACATGCTTGTACATTCCGCATATCTTTTTCTTCTTATTTTGATTGTTTCGTGGAGTTCATAGCACTATGTATAGGATGCATTCGAGGTTCATAAATCGAAGGTATTCTTACTTTTAAAACATTTTTAATACATTTTTTTTTATCCTTCTATATATTTTAGCTACGTAATTTCTATATTTAAAATATACATAATTAATATCGTATTTTTAATAATACTTACCTTTTTTTTTTTTTATCACTTATAAACATTATGGTTGAAATAATGGAGCAGTATTTTTTATGCATTGAATCAAAGCAGGCATCTTTCAATAATATTCAAGGTTAAAATTCTTTTATTTTATAAATTCAAATAAAAATTTTGAAGTTTTAAATTAAAATTTTCAAATATTATATAATTTTTGAAGGGAATCATATTCACTTACTTGAGCCTTATCAATAACTGAAATCATTCGTAGTAGATATTTTATTTCCAATTTAGGAACTGAAATGCCCATATAATAAAAAATATTTGTATCGTAATAATAATTATTATTAAATTGGGAAACGAGGGTTACGCTAAAAAGTCACTGCTAAGTATACAAAATGAAGAAAAAAACTCGCAAAAAGAAAAACAAAAAAACGAACATAGACTTTCTTTTTTTTTTTTGAATATTAATCATTCTCTAATTTTCTCTCTGTGTTCTCATTCATACATTCACGTCTGATCGCGCGGATTCGATATCTCTCATTCTTTATCTTCTTTTTTTCTTTGTTTCACATACATACGCACATTCTTTCAATTTCTTCTTTAACGCTCACGCACTATAATTCGAGATTAAAACAACCACGGTAACAAAACAGAAATTAATTACATAAAATCTTCCATATGGAATTTTGCACTTCCTTTTTTTTCCTTTAAACTTTCTTCTACAATCTTATAGTCTCTCTAATTGATAAAGGGCTCGTTAAAAGCACATACAAACGATCGTCGTTATCGTTCGATTTTGAAAGTCACTATCTAAGCAGTTTTATGGCACGTATTCTCGTACAAGCCCTTCCTCTTTTCTTTTTTTTTTTTTCTTTATTTTAATCTTTATTACGAGAAAAAGAAATTTTTCCTCTTCGTCATATTATTTCTTCCATTCTTTGTTTTCAGTTATTGTTTAATTAATTTCGCGGAATTTATATTGAATCGCAACAATAATGTATCTATTTTTGATATACACTCACACATTGAAATCAGAAGTCTTTTTACCTTCGAATACGGTTTATCAGACTTGGACGTGAAGAAGGTCTGTCTTAGATCGTATTTCTTTCACAATACGTCAACGATCTCGTTGGTTCCCGACGATTTTTCCTTAATAAATTTTCAAAAAAGAAAAAAAAAAAACTAAGATTTTTTTAGAAATACTTCGCAACATAGCACCATTGGAACAAGAGAAGCATCTCGAGGCATATCTCATAAAAAAAAAATTATTCATCAATTATTCATGAGAAAAAAAAAAAAAAGAAATAATACATGCTCCTTTTTGCATTATCAATTGAAACAAAAAGAAATAAAAGCTTTATATGATTTTCAATACGTCGGGCTTAACTCGAAGACCTTTCGAAAAACCGCGATCCTAAGTTGCAACGACGTTCATCATTTCGCTCTTGTTTCGTAAAAGAACTTCCAAACATGAACAACTTATTGTTGAAAGACATCGATATAGAAATCTGATTTTTTTTTTTTTTTTTTTGCTAGAATAGTCCGGTGAGGACCATTTACATTCTTGTACGTTTTAGGGTTACGAATGTTTTTTAATGTTAATCTGATATTGTTTATTTTTTGTTATTTTTTTTTTCCTTTATCAGAGTATCCTAAAACGAACAAATTCTATCAATATGTCTACATTTAACATGGATATACCATCGGTACTTCTTTTTATTCTTCCGTTCTTCAAAACGTTGGTGGCCCGCGATGTTCGATCGTTCCTCGGCAGCGATCGCGTTTATTTAATCAGTCAATTATGCGATGGTGCTATTTTAATTGAAACCAATGTACGAATCGCATGTTCTCTTTTCTATTTCTCTCTGTTTGTATATTTGCGAGCATATATACATATATATATACATATATATATATATATACGTCGATGAAAATGAAAAGATTTTTATTATCCGCGCTTATTTTTATTCATTTCTTTCTTCTTTTTTTTTTTTCTTCCGTATATGTTTAATGTACAAGAAATTTTTCTAGAATTATTCTGTAAAATATTGCGTTGCACCCTAATAAGAATATATACATAAATATGTATATATGTAGCGATACGACTATCGTTGGCCACACAAATAAGACAGCCTGTACATTTACTAAATCTTAACGCTCTTACGTAATGTTGAAAGATATAATGCAGGGAATTTATCTAGCTTAACGAATACGTGATTATATACATTATGTACATTATCTCGTTGCTATAATCATCGCTTACGTGCACTTATTTGTTAGAGTTGACTACAGATCAGTGTTGTGTGTATGTGTGGTGATTGGTATGTATGTGTCAATACAATGAAAATTGTCTAAACTTACACAGTAGAATAGGGTTCTCGCGATCGTTACTACGTAAGATTTGTCGTTATACAATAAACAATTATACATTCTTGACGATCCGTCGGTTTAAAGATCTCGCATATACACGTATACGTGTATACGTATATATATTTATATATATGTATATGTATATATATATATATATATATATATATATATTTTATATATATATTTCTTTATAATTATTTATATATTTATTTAGTTATCACATCGCACGTTCGAAATAAAGGAATTCGGACTTATGATGAACAATCAAATTATTAATCTCTCGAAAAATGTACATTTTACAAAAAAACAATATATAAAATAATGAAAAAAGAAAATAAAACTAGTACTCGAACTTCTTGATTTATTAGATATTCCTAACACTCGACACTTGTAATAGTTATTACACTTAAACTTTGCGAAGAATAAACGTAGAAAAAAAATCGTATTATCGTATGAAAAAGAGTCAACTGCATTCATTCGTTCCTAATATGAGTTTCAGCATTTCTCTTTTTTTTTTCCTTTTTTTTTTTTTTAATCGTTATCACAGTGTTTTAGTACGCTCGTTTTTTTTTTCCCCCTTAATTAATATCGAATATTCTCTCGATTATTAATATATATAAAAATTAAAATAAGACCGAAACATCGTTTCATCGATTTCCATTTACAATGAAGTTATCTCGTTATTATTGTTACATATAAAAATTATTACCTAATTTATTGCATGATATATGCATGTACACACCTAGTTTACTGTATCCATTATATTTTTATTCGTCCACGTTCGAACGTTGATAGTCACTTCTTCTCGTTTTTTATTAATTCGAACGAAAAAACTTCTGTCTCCTATGTCTCCCCTACCTTCGTTAGAATATTTAGAATGGTATTCAAATACAATATATTTAAATGATCATCGAAAAATCCTTAAACGATAACTTAAATACACATTTTTTTTTTTTCTCCCTATCATTGATTAATTTTTTTTTTTTTCCGCTTGAATGTCTTTATTTATTGACACATACGAGGAAGTCCTCCCGAGTAATTTCAATGAAAATAGAATTCGAAGCGAGGAATCCGACGGATCTTTGTCCTTAGAAATGAAACCGACGTTCGCTACACATCGGAAACCCTACATGAGATCCCATTTGCCTACTTAGACGTTGGAGCAGCCGGCTGGTGCTGCCCCGCCATCCCCAGTCTTGGTTGCGAGGAAGCAAGTAATTCTTTATAGTATGCACTAAATTCCGGCGGTAAAAACGACGTTGCAGCCGTGGGCGGAATCGGCGGGGGGAATAAACTATTATAGAATGTGGAATAGTACATGGGGTCTAAAATCGGTAGGAACTTGCCGGGCGTATTTGGCAGTTGCGGAAGGTAAGCTGGATTGTTTTGCGGCACTGCAGGTACGAAACCAGAAGGTATACTTGGAACACTGTGTCTTCTTCCAGCTTCGGTTTGCCTTGGTTCCTGTTGTTGTTGTTGTTGTTGTTGTTGTTGTTGTTGCTGTTGTTGTTGCTGCTGCTGCTGCTGTTGTTGCTGCTGCTGCTGCTGGTGCTGCTGCTGATGTTGTTGAGCGATTAATGATTTATCGCCCTCGCTGATTCGACGCTGTTGCTGCTGATGTTGGTGATGTTGGTGCTGATGTTGTTGATGTTGTTGATGTTGTTGATGCTGTTGTTGCTGATGCTGTTGATGTTGATGAGGATGAGGATGAGGATGTAAATGTTGCTGTTGATGAAGATGATGCTGCTGGTGTTGGTGATGCTGATGATGTTGATGCTGGTGATGCTGCTCCTTACCGCCTATCTCTAAGTTTTTTCTCCTATCGATCGTATTTTGTTGTTGGATCGTAGCCATCCTAGTATAATTTCCACTATTTAGATGATTTAGATTAGGTACATTCGGTATAACAGGATGACTCGGTTTCCTAGGTGTATAAGGTGAAATTGGTTCACTCCTTGTCATATACTTGCCGTTCAATTGCTGTCTTCTTTGCATAGGTATTGAATTATTTCTAGATGGACTCGGTACGCGGACAGGAGCCGGTGTACATAGGTGATTACTCTTTTGCTTAGGATTTACGATTGTAATTTCTAAATTATTCGAAGCCATGGTTCGACTGTCGAGTACATTCTGATAACCAGGGAAGGTACTTCGTTTCGAACAATCTGTTGGTTTTTCTTTAAGCGTGGACGAGTTCCTCATCTCCAAGTTTAATGGATTAGGCCTCGGCACTACAGGTACTTTCACTATTTCTAAGCTCGGCCTCGGGTACGTCGGCTTGTTAGATTTTTGCGTTAAGTCGAGAACCCCGCCGTAAACGGGATCGTTATTACTATACATCGGATGCGGCTGCAAACGATGCAGCGAGGGACGATATTTTGGAGGGATAGGAATTTCTTTTGGATCTCCATAAACCGTCTTTTCGTTGTGTGCGAATATCGACCTCGACTGTGTCACCTTGGGCGGAAATATCCTACCGTTAGGAACAGTTGGCGGCACGAAACGATGATTTGCTTGATGCAACCCCGACGATGCCGGTGGTGGGACGTTGGCGTTTGCGTACAATTGTAGCAACGCGGCGTTGTTAGAAGTACCAAGATTTATTACACGACTGTTCACCATATTATTGTTGTTCATTGTGATGTTGTTGTTATTATTGTAGTGAGCAGGATGTTGTTTTGTCGGCGTTGGTAACCGTGCTTGATGATGATGCTGCTGATGTTCTTGAGGGGATGTTAACATATGCCCTATGTCAGGTGTCACAGTAACGGAAATCAATTTGGGAATGGAATTGGGCGTGACTGGAAGAGGATACGATATCGGTGGCTTTTCTTCCGATTTCATCGTTGCTGGCGCAGGAGAATTGTTTTGAATAACGCTCGGTCGCGTATCCAAGTCAACGGCAGTGACCTCGAGTCCACCTTCGCGGAGTATTTCGAGTTTGCGCTTCTTGAAGCTGGGAATGATTATTTTATCCCTACTCGTGTCGCTTTCCGTTTCAAGATCGATCACCTCAGGCGATCTAGGAGGCACTATTGCCTTCTCCGCAAAAATTGACTTTTCACCGAACAATGGGATGTTCTCCTTGCCCTGCGCCAGCAAGCTGGTTTGCTTGGGATCTAATTTGATCTCTTTCATATCCTTCTCGGGCGGCGGCGTCAACGTAACAACCGTAGAGGCATTCGTCACCACTGTGGTTACCGGAAGACCCGGTGGCGAACACGACGGTGGAACTTGTTGCGATATAAGAGGGCTATTTAGCTGCCTCTCTAACACGCTTTGACTTCCAGTACCATTCGTGGGTGTGGTAGAAGGTGTACTACTCGGCGTTGAAATTGATGTATTAGAAGAAGGTGGTGGACTTGGCAGTTGGCTGGTTTGCTGGCTGGGTGATGGTGTACTATTGGCAATCATGGTATTTAATGATTTCAGACGTTCTGGTTTCACTCTTACACTACGTAGAGACGATGTCTTTCCAGTCTCTGTTTTGGGTTTTTCATTCGACAGGAACGGCTACAAAGGTAAATAACAATTATGTTATACGAACGTAAATATTTTATGTAATATTAATATATGTAATATTAACATAAATATCGAATGTACCGAACGATCTTAATAATACTTACCGCTGTCGATACGATTGATTGTAAAGGAGGGCTTGTAGTGGTAAGACTCGTTTCTACAGGGGGAGGCGTATCCGATGGATATGAATCGTTCGTTTCTTGCTTAATGTCCTCGGATTCTTCGGATACACTGCTACTTTTACTTCGTCTTCCGTGTGTCAGTCTAATTTTTTCTTCTTCGCCTCTTTGATACCTCTCATATGGTAACAATAACCTGTTCGTTACAAAAGATTCTATAGACGATTATCCGACTTCATCGTTAATCAACGACAGATTTTTCATTCGTATACTTTACCTTTCGTAATGCCGTCGAGTGATAGTCGCGGCGCTGGTAGATCCTGTATTACCACCTATATCGTCGTAGATATTCTTCCAGAGTCGACCAGCGCTGACGGAATCATAACCACCAAGCATTTGGACTTTCGTATAAAACAGGAAGAGATCGACTGTAAGCAAAAGAATCTCATTAGTTCAATAGGTTTTGCAACGTTGGTAAATATTTATCGTACGTAAGATTTGTCAAAAGGAAACACTGCTGTAGATCAGCTTCGAACAGTACCAATCACTGTTTTAATTTAATTACATATGGATCAACATTTACATATGTGAAAATATAATTAAGGATAGATTATACAAATTTCCGCCAATTGTTAAAAAAAAAAAAAGACATCACACAGATACTGACTCTGCCTGTAGCCCAGCAGTGGCATCTTTCCGACAGGCGTACCCCGCGAGTTCATGAAATTCTGCACGTCCGTTATGAATTTCTTTTCCTCCGCGCTGGTCTTCCGCTCGCTTCGCCGTACTACCGACGAAGGTGGTCTACCAACGCTCGGTATCATAACGTTCGAACTCGCTGGGGCACTTTTCGACGTGGATGCAACGGAAGCTTCACTTTCATTACTCGATTCACCGGGCGATGCGCTGCGCTTTTTACGTTTCCTCCTCGGCCTTCCTTTCAATTTTGGTGCTGAAAAATATTTCACTTTGCTTTCAATCTTGAAATGAAAATAAAACGTAAATATAAAAAAAATACACACACACACATATATATATATATATTTAGATTTCTATATTGACGAAAAACGAATGTTCAATATATATTCAATATAAATATAATAATAATAAAACGATATTTTCATTGATATCGGATAAAAAAATCTCATTATTTGTTTTTTTACAGCGTAAATAATAATCATTCGGATTAAATGACAAAATATTATCGTCTTATACGATTTTGTTTTTCACTGTACCTAAAAGATTTTTAATACGATAACATGATTCGAAATTTGAAAATTTATCGAAAAATGACTATGAAAAAATATCATTTTTCATTAAATATCATCATTTTCATTATCTGATATTAAATTTTAAAAAATTAAAACAAATAAATCATAAATTGTACACATACATATTTTATATTCTATTAATTAATAATTTAAATCATAACATATATTAATGTAATGATTTAATAATTAAATGATAAAAATTAATTTCGAAATATTGTTATTCGTAAATTGCAATTTATATTTATATTTCTTTACATTATTAAACAATTAACTAAATTATATGGTCATAATTATCATACTAAATATCTAACAATCTAATAAAAGTTAAAACATTCTTGATTTTTAATCACTAGGATTTTATATCCCTCATCGCTTTTCAAATTTATTTAACACTTATCACATAATATTTATCATACAATGTAGGTTAATACAAAATTATGTATCATTTCTACTTAAATTTCCAAATCTATTCCACGTGCACGTGTCACATTTCAATATAAATCCCGCCCGAAAAGTTAACCAACAATTTTTCCTTTGTACGAAGCACAAAGAAAAATACCTACCAACTAATTTAAAATACACAATCTTATTTTCTTGTATCTTCATTATTATGGACATTGTGCTTTGTATCAAAATAAAGATCTAGTAAATGAATCGATAAACGATTCATATGTCACACTATATTATCACATTCACTATTAAAATTTTTATAAATCCTGACACATCGAATTATATACATATTTGAAGACGGATGTATATATGCTAATAGAAGTGTTAATATGCTTTGTCATCGTTATAGTTACAAAATATTTTTCCAATGAAGAAACACAACCTTATACTAACGTTCTTCCCGCTAGCCTTACCCGATACGTTCTATTGTTTTTTAAATGGCTCTCTAGACTATGCAATGTAATTGTCTGTTGCGAACACATGGTAATCTCGGTCGGTAAATAATAAAATATCTAATAATTAATTAATTAATGATTATTAATATATCATATAAAATACTTATTATTTAATTATATATTAAGTAAACATTTTACGCAACGAAAAGTATTTTATATAAATAGATTTTGATTAAATCTGTTTTATCAAGTTTTTTCTACTTCTATTTCGTCATCGATGTAAAAAGAAAAATAAATTTCAGTTGGTAACCTAACCTACCTAAATGATTGCAGAGGAGTTCGTGAGTTTCAAGATCCGGATAGTCAAAGGTATCTCTACAGAAGAGTATCCTTGTACCCGGTGTGGCGGTGAATCCACCCAGTGCGGCTGCTATGGATGAGCAAAGCCAGGACGGTTCGGCGCCTTCGAGCCTACGTAAGAGTGCTCGATATCGGCAATACCTGGGATACGAGAGCACCACCACTTTCGTTTGAGAACTATAGTCCGATTTTCGCGTGTTGTGATTGCTTTCGTACTCCTTCTGTTGCTTATCGACGTCCGAAAAATCAATGCCAGGATCGGTGAGCACCTGCGGTTGAGGTATCTCATACCTTAACGGGCTATTCTCCGGAGACGACGTTGGGGTCGGTGGGTAAGATACTTCCCGACCCCATGACCATTCCAATGCAGGCGATAACCACGTAACGAGATCATGAACACGCACCACAACCTTTTCAGATATTGTCAGCACTTCGTCCTGCAATCAGATAAGTATTTTCTATTTTATTTTTTATGTCGATATTTTTTTTACAAATACATTATATTTTTTACATACATTTTTTATCCGATAAAAAAGTAAAATAAAAAAATTTTTTTAAAGAAAAATATGAAGAATAATTTTTAAAATAGATAAATTATAAAATGATTTTTCGAATTGAATTGCCTTTTTTTATCATGAATAAAAATAATCGCATATCGAATATGAATTGTTATCCGCGTTATATCACTAACTTATCATTTAAGCAATCTTCTTTCTTATTAACTAAATCTTTTTTTTAAAGTTTTACAGATTTTATAAATACATACCTATCTCTTTGCAAAACTTTTGTACATGTATTATATTTTTAAAAGTAGAACAAAAAGTTATCGATATGTTTTATCATGATTTATCTTTCTCAAAATACAACTTTTCTTTGTTTTTCTTTAAAATTTCCAGTCATGTTAAAATAATATTTCTATATTGTTAATTAAATTACAGGTCAAATTAAAAATAAGATATTGAGAAGAACAAAAATAAGCGAAGATAATCAATTTCAATGGAATTTACTTTGAAGATTTTCTATTGACTCAGCAGGAAGTAGGTATCTTTCTTACCAGTCTGTTCCATTTTCGATATTATTTTACCGACCTTCCATCGACAGGTGGAGACACGGTCAAGTCTCAGCGCTACTTAAACTCGTAATCTGACCCATCCTCTACGTACATAGATCTACTTGTCGTGTATAAAGCTAAAATACCTATGTGCTCGTTATGTATACACATAATCCAGCCAACGTAACTCGTGGTTTATGTTGTACCTCGAGTGCATCGTTACCTACTCCGCTTCAGCGATAATTTAATTGTCCGTTGATGCCAGCGGCGACGTCATTTTCACAAAGTTTGACCTAACTTTTGGACCTGGTGATTTGTGGAATTTAATTCAACTGTAAGTTATTGCTTTCCGTTAAAATTTAAAATATAGAAGAATGAATTTAAAAAAAGTAAAAATTTTTCAAATTCAAAATAGAATAATATTCAAACGTAATTACAATTTTTTACATGATGGACAATAATAAATGCAATTTGCGCATTTCGTTTATCTTGAAGATCGAATAATATTCGTAATGAGTCACACCAAACATTGGTGTGAAATTTATTACTGGGACGTTGAACGTGCATAAATCAACTAAGAAATGTAAACATACGGTATGCTAAGTATTAGCACTTTTCATCGGTTCACGACTTTTGGACAAAGATACGAGGTAAGCTCGAACAATAAAAAACAGAGAACGCGAATAAAAACTTGATCATTTAATAAATACGAGTATAAACAATTTGAGGTTATAAAACAGTCAGAATATAAACGTAATTTATTTATATAATACGAAATATATTGTTATATTTATTTAATTAACATCAACCGTTTGTCCACGATGTTTCTCCGCAATTAACTTATATAACTACAAGATTCGTTAGCGGCAAATCGAATCGTCCGGAAAGAATTGAGATTCAACGAGGGGCAATTGTGAGATGCACTTGAACCAGTGGCTCTGCGAGTAAATCCGTTAACCCGCGGCGAAAAGAGCCTTGAGCCAAGTAAAATGGCCGGGTTTTAACCCCTTGCACTTCAACTGCCAGTCGAGTTAGCTATAAAATGTTGAACGTTTCAATGGAACTAAATTTGATAATATTTTTCTTTTTTATCTCAATACGGAGAATACATTTTATAATTTTATAATTTATTTATTTATATAAATAATCTTTTTATTTCATTTAATCATAATTGAAAACAAAATTTAAATTCATTTATTTATCTATGCCATAATATAACATTCTATTTAGTTTGGAAGTCCTATAGCTCCTGTTATACTTTCATCTTTTAACTTCGTGCTCATCCATACCCTCCTTCAATCCCGCCACTTCACTTCTTCCTTTACTCTTCTTTTCCTTTTTTTTTTTTTTTCCCCTCTTGCTATTGCTCGTCTTTCTCGTCTCTCGTTTACATCCCATTCTCAATCTTTTCTTTTCCCATCTCTATATCTCTTCTTCTTTTGGCTTTCAACATTGCCTCTCCTCTTTTTTTACTCCTCATCTTTAGTCACTTATTTGCTCCCCTGTTTGTACAATCTTTGCTACTTTACTTACTAGCTCGTTTTCTTTTCTCGCTCTATTACACAAAATTAATTTACCAATAGATTTGAACAAATGTAGATGGTATTAATAGTCGTTTAATATTTTCATATACTATAGAAAAACGTTTCACGTACTGGATCATTAAATTCATGAATGTAAAAATGAATTTTTTAATTTTTGCAATAGTTCCATAAACCTAGTTAGAAGGGTACATCGTTCCCATCACTGTTAATACGTTTGCCCGTGGATTTTCTTTCCCTCTCTGGTCTATCAGTCACGTACGTGCTCTCCCATTTTCAGTTCCAGGGAAAATCTTTCTCTTTTCTTTTCACCATATTCTCCCATTGCTCTGTCCTCGTCGAGCCCCCGATACTGACCCTCTTTCTCTCTTTCTCTCTCTCTCTCTCCTGTTTCCCCTTCGAGCACGACTCTGAAAACAAACCTTCCGTCTTAATCGCAGGGACACGCGAAAAACGATGAAGAAGAATTGTGTAACCGAGAGGTAGCACGCGTAGCACAAAGAAAAATCTTCCGACATGAACGTTTCCCATCCCCTTTGTCCCACTCGTCTCTTCCATGTATTTATTGCCGTGATTTCCTCCACAGGGTTCCCTCCACGTTCTATTGACTTTTCGGACTCCCACTTGCCCCTTATTGCTCTTCACCCCCTATTGATTTCGTTAACACGGAGATATCGTTTTAATTAAATTCTCCCCCTCCCCCCTTTTTGTTTTTGCCACAATTCCTTCGGCCCGGCTTATAATCGTTTGTTACAAGACACGAGGAATTACGCCTGATTATTCGCGTATTATATTCGGTGGTTCGTTGTTCCCGGAGACCGAGTAAACCGTGGCAACTTTGTAATCACGTTAAACCTGGTAGTGAAACTGATGGCAGGAGTTCAACTCGCAACTCGATTCTATTTAAATATTTAAATGTAGTTTTAAACTTGTCCCGCCCAAACGAAGTTTCGCCAAATTGGTAATCTCTTACTTTTCAATCGTCTTCCCGACCGAGCACTTACGCGAAATGCAATTAGCCGAGTGTAAATTTTGGATAACGAGGGAGAGCCTCGATCAAAGATTTTCGAGATAGTCGAAGGGCTAACGTTGTGCAAATCGATGATGAAATGATTGATCGATTCTTCTCTGCCATCGATTCGATGGAAGATAGAAAATTTATTTAAAATATAAAATTCACAATTCTTTAGAAGATTTTTTTTAATTTTTTTAATAATACATTATTAATCATTTTATATATATACATCAATTTATATTTCGAGCAAATTTATTAAAATTTTATTATAAAAAATTTCAGATACCGGCATAATGATTCGAGCTCACATGTACAAATATTATAAATTTCGCCTATGATCCATTTAAATGTTTAATCGAAACAAATGCGACAGGACGTGATTTCTGGACAAAAGGATTAAGTTACGTATTATTAATAGGTCAATGGCTGTTTCGATAAATCTCATAGTATGGAAACGTGGAATGTTCAAGTACGTATTATTTTAAATTATTATTTTAAATTAATATCTCTTAGAGATATGCAATTGCAAAATTCAATTTAACAAAGCGAACGTATTGTTTGAGGCGTAAACTTTTACTTCCAAAGAAGGAGTATACCAAGGAAATTACATCTTGGGAGGAGTTTATAGTATCTTGAAATATTAAAATATTTTCTGGTGAGAAACAGCCGTGGGTCCATGACTTTCCTCCTACAACTCTTTATTACACCTTCATGTTTATTCGTTGAAATAAGATTATATACCCAAGGAAAACTAAAAAAAAATATTAGAAAGTGGTAAGTAACCGCGCAAACGATCAAAACAAATAACGTTATTTCGCTTGGACAAAGCAATAATTAAAGAACATTTACACCTTTAAAATTTGATTAACATTTTGCATTTAAAAGATGAGGCGAGACTCCATATACCTAGAAGCATTTCCCCTTGACTGCACACAACCGAGATGTGTATCTGGAAAAGGGAGAACCAGGAAGAGTCGACCATTACTGGAGGGTGAGAGTTAGGGAGAGACAAGGCGGTGGTGGGATTAAAGGGGTCAAAGGGGAGAAAGAGACGGAGGGTGTATGGGGTGAAGGAAACAGAGAGCGATGCACATATGCAGGGACAACAATGTGCCAGAAGATAGTGCAATAGTTGGCACAGATACAGGCACAGATTTAACCCTAAACTCGTGACACGGACAGTGTGCATGGAATCACGTGGAAATGTATTCAAACGTTGCTATGGGGATTTCGCTGCCACCCTAAATACACCGATAACCCATCAATTTCAGCGAAATCGGACGACCTGGCAAACTGTAATATCCTATCATGTTTCTATCGTATTAATCCATTCTTCTTCTCCAATTTTATCGTATCGTGAATAATAGTCCGATATTATCATAGTTCAAATATCATGCTCACAGACAGAGTAATTGTAATATGAATGTATTCGATTAAAATTTTTATTGCGCCAATTCTTCTATTTTATCGTGCATTTATCGATTTACGAAACGATAAAAAGGAAAATTGAAGAGAAAATTGATCTTAGAAAATTGTTCTTCTTTGTTGGTGAAAGAATGAGAATTGACAAAAGTTGTTTTTATTTCAGGTGCTATTTCAATTGGCACGGTGAAAAATTCATCTATTATTGGTGGATGAAACATGTTATAACAATATTTTGACAACATCCGTTAAATGAACAGATTTTGGTCTTGTTTCGCGATTTCATGTCTTCGAACGATTATTAAAAGACTGGATGGATTAATTCAATTCTTGGCTGGGATTAACAACTAATAGAGGACGGGATGAAAAGGGTTCACAGTTAACTGCTGAATCAGCGAAAAGATAGGGTAGACGATTCGAGAAGAATGTTTTATGGCAAAGGTCCAAATGATGTTTGTAGCTCGACAAGGAATTGTTAATGAATTTCTTGTGAGTATATCAGAAAATGTTATTTGTCCTTTCTTTCTATTACTCCTTTTACGAGTTATTTAATCAATAATCATCGATTTTAGAATTTTTTTCGTTTTACTTTTACGTAATTTATATTTAGGGACAAATATAATCATGTTAGGCGAGTTTCAAAATTTATATCTGATATCTATGCTTTTTTATCGAAATCTATTTTACACGTGGCGAGCGTTAAATTATTTTTATATCGCTCCATCGTCCGATTATTGCACCGGGGTTCGACATAAATTTCGCATTACTATTCATAAATTATTTGTAACTCTGAATTCAATTAAATTTTACAGCAAAAGTCATCCCGTGCCGGGGCTGAAATTGTCCACCCGTTTTGATTAATTTGACCGGCAAAAAATAATAAATAACTCTCGAAATTGTTTTACCGCGCGTATTAATTTTAACCGGGCGCGCGATCAATAATGTATGTTGTTCGATTTGTTTATTTCGAGAGCACATCGAAACGCGCGCATCGTTTTAATAACGATATCAGTACGACACGAACAGGGCCCTTAATACTTTTCCGTGTAATGCGACTCATACCCACGTCCATTTACCGACGAAATTTATTACATTAAACGTAATAAACGACTTGTATAGCATCCAAGCATGCTAGCGATATTATTATCGTAGCTGCGAAACTTTCTATCTATCTAGGTAATCTCATCTTCTGCCCGCCACCTCCTTTATCTCTTGTCTTTCACTCAACTTCTTAAGTAGTCTTTTGTAAGTTGAATTAAAATAGACGTCAGGAAATATTCCTCGGACGATAGCAAACCAGCCATCAGATGAAGGAAGTACAGTAATATACATATAAATGACCACGAATTTGTCCATTTATATGGTCATTGGCCATCCCCACCCATTGGAAACGATCGGCCCCGAATGATTCCGAATAGTCCCGAACAATAGTCGTGTATCCAGACATGGCGTGTGTCATTAAGACGCGAATTTATGCAATTATCACGTATATCGATAAAATCGATCGCTCGAAATGACAAGATGAAACGTGTGAAATTGTTGTTTGATCGAATTGATAATTGTGAAACAATGTTAAAAACGAAATATTATATACGGGAAGAAAAAATCCGGGAGTCACCGTATAAATATGCAATGCTGCAGTTGACATATTCGCCGAGCGTACATAATACATTCATGAACGAGAGTGGTAGGGAGAAAGAGCGCGAAGGTGGGGAGGAATACAATCGTAGAGTGGAATATGTAGCGTGTTGGTTTTAGTGACGCTCAATCTTTGCTTGTAAACCGCACTGGGAGGCCATTACTTTGGAAGTCACGTTGTTATCCGACCACGAATCTCACTGTGAAAAGTTTAGATTTCGAGCGTGCTTCCAAATCAAATTCTTTCCACCTCCGCCCGGCTCGAATTGTTTCTTCGTTTTTCTTTCGCTTTGAACCGGCTACCGAGAATTCAACAAAGGGACGTCATTTGAGTTTTATGGTTAGGGAAGATTTACATCGACAAAAGATAGACAAATGTGAATTCCTGGTGTATGTAGTAGATAAAAAAAAAGGAAAAAAAATAAAGGTAGGAAAAAACGTATGAGAGAAAATATCAATGAAAAGAGGGGGAAAAATATGTAACATTTGTCGGAGAGGGAAATACGAACAGGATTAATTTTAGCGCTTGTGACAGGTTTAAATCAATAAGTATGAGAGCCACTGCGAAGCATAAATCATTGTTAGATTAAACCCTGGAGCACGCGGTAGTAGATGGGGCAATGGCGCGCTTTCAGGAAATATAGGGTGACCCAAAAGTTCCGATCTATATTTCATTGAGTCATATACAGATCGACATGAACAATGCAATATGAAACTAGGCTAATTGATCGAGTATTTTCATCTCTCTTTCGATAACTTTTTATGACCATTGGTTTTTATATAATTTTTCTTTAAAAATTTTTCAAAAATTATTAGAAATATCTAATTTCCAAAAAAAAATTCATTTCTATTGAATAAACATTTTCAGATATGTTTATCTATACTGTAATAATATCGAAATTTCATGCAATTCGCAAAAATTTATAATTTCATAATCTCAGTGATAACGATCAAATTTCTAATGGTGCTCGAAAGCTTATCATCAAATAAATAAGATTTTTATATATCTGGAAAAATATGTATGTATTCTGAAAATCAAAAATTAATAGTAAATAACCGCAATTAACGAGGTTGCTAATTAGCGCGCGCAATTTGAAGGCCACTTCGCGGCTAAAGTCATTTCCTTTAATGTAAGAAAATACGTTTTTGCTCGATTCAGTCGGTCTGAATGAAAACAGTGCCACTTTGAACTGGTATGCGAGGATTGAAGCTAAAAGGAATTTGATTATGCTTGGTAGTTTACACACGGTGTTTCTGGATCGATCGAGCCACCCGCTGTCTCTCCCTGCCTTTCGTACTGTCTTTCTCTCGCTCTCTCTCGCTCCTATTATCCCTCTCTTGGCTTCCTCCTCTCTTCCTAGTCCCTTTTGCTCTTTATCTGTCTAGTACACACACTCTCTCTCTGTCTTTCCTTTTTCTCTTTCTCTCTCTTTGTGCGTTCGTGTTTCCACGTCTTCATACTGGTTTCGTCAAGGGTCATGTGTGAGGAATGGGAATTACTTTTTAAAAAGGAATAAAATGGAATGGTGTTCTCGGTTTGATTGTATTTGTACAAATTCAAATGTTAGATATTTTTAACAATTTCCTTCCATCTTATTTCACGTTAGAATCATAAAATTTTCCACTTAAATCGATAATATATATTTTCTTTTTTTGAATATTCCAGATTGTATTTTTAGCTGTATTTTTTGCCATGCACGAAAATATATAATCAAGATGGTACATCGTTACTAACTTCATTAAAGAAGGTAAAAAGATAATAATAAATAATGCATCTACATCAATGAAAAGCAATCAAGGATTTCTTTCTAATATATATCGTTAGTCGTAACGTTACAACCTACTTGTCATAATGGCATCATTATTTCGCTATTCGATATTACATACATATAGTAATTTTAATAGAATTCATGTATCAGATATGTATCAGAGCCTTCTACACAATCATTTACCAACTAATAATATTATTGAGATGAAAAATTATAGGTTATATGTATCTCCTATAATTCTTTCAATTATATGTTAATCAAAAGAATCGTTTTATTGCCAAATTCATTATGCACAAAAGCGTTTATAATGTGTGATATAAATTTCTATATAATATTATTAGTTCGATCCCGATGATAGAAAAGTCTGATGCTATTCGTATTTTCGATTATAGTTCGATAAATTAACTTTTGTTCGTTTTAGTTTCGTTTCATTTGGACGAAAAAAAAAAAAATCTACGATGATAAATAAAAATACGGAGTGAAAGGGGGAAAGTTTTTTTTAAAGTAGATTTATCCGAACCGCAAACCATCGAATTATCCACAGTTGTAGCTCTTCTCCCCCCCTGCTCTTCGTAGCGTCGAGTTCCAATATTTTAGTTTTTTAGCTCGAAATCTTTGAACAGTTTTATGAAACTTAAACATCGTGCTTAAAACTTATAATTCCATGCAAAGAAAAAGTTTCGGCCAACTTCCGCCCTGGCACGTTTTATGTTTCATTTCTATTCATTATTCCAATGCTTCTTGAACGCGCCGATGCAAATTTTATCTTTTTAACGCGGCCACCGAGTCTTCCACCGGGACGTTTCTAAACAGTTGAGCGATAAAGGATAACTAAAGTAGCCAGGAAACGCAATTAAGATTAAATATTGTTTAAATCAGAAGATCTGCCAACGTTTCGTTTAATCCATCACACAGATCGATCAATTTTAACTTATCGCCCCCTCCCCCTTCCCCAAACGAGATTATGAACCGTCAAATTTCAACTATACGTTTCTATTACGTCTCGTCATTCGAGAATGGAAAGATGGCGTAATAAAAGTGGCTGCTTGCGTTCCAATATTACAGATTTCGCATTGTCTGCTCTCCCTTCCTCTCTGCGGACGTATATCTCTTTGAACAGATGTATATCTCGCGTTCATCTTTGATGTATGGCTAAGATCGAGAAAAGTGATTAAATATTCGTTCTTTTTGCGGCAGATATATATATATATATAGTGCAACAATATGGACGGGAGAGAAGAAAAACTTTTACTTTGTCCAGTGTGAAAGTACGCTCCGTTATTAGCCCTTTTTTTTCTCTCCGTAAACGAAAGAAACAAACAATGAGGATAAAGGGAGGGAGAGAGAGAAAGAAAGGGGGAAAAAAGAAAGAAACAGAGGGCTGGATTTTATCGATCAAATGCATTTCCATGAAATTCAACGCTCTTTGTATGTTTCAAACTCTCGAAACGTATCTATATTGCGCAACGATAAATTTATTGGATAAACAAAATACATCACTATATTGGATAAATAAATCGCAGAGTTCATTTTCATGGAATGCCTCTGTTAAATAGTTGAAAAGCATTGCGAGACTCCCTTTTACGAATTTCATATGGATGGATCGTGAATGCGGCATCGAAATTATTTTGCGATTAATAAATCGAATTGGATCGCGTTACATTTGAAAATATTTTTCTTCGTCGCCCCTTGTTTTAGAAAGAAAATATATAATTAATTCCATGCGTGACGAATTTTTTAAGTTCCCTCAAGAGAGTGAATGGAAGAAAAATATACAGAATAGTTTCGTTTGAAAATATAAAAATATATCTGTACAAAGAAAAAAACGAAAAGAATATAAAATTTGCATTATTTTAAAATAAATGTATAAATTTTAAAACAATTGAGAAAGATCGTTCGTGCGGAGAGATTTTCCATACTTCAAAAAAAAAAGATTCCCAGATGTCATTATTTCGGTTGTGTAAAAGCACACTTGTTAAATTTTTATCAACAATTTCATCCAAATTGTATGTACGCTCCGTTTACTCATGTATTAGACCGAAATATCCAAGACACGAGATAATACGAGGTAGATAATAATTT